ACCCATTACTATCTACTGAAGCACGCCTACCCCACTGTGACGACACCTACCACGCCGCCCGCCCCGTGCACAGCAGTGAGCCAGCCTCAAGACTCACTTCAATTACAGTTTCGCAAATGCTCACATTCGCTTCATCAATTATCCAGCCGCCGTATAATGTGTCGCTCGAGTGTTATTCTGGGTGTGGAGGGGCGTCCGCTAAGGAGAGAAGGCGGAACTGACGAGACCCCTACTTCGAAAGATTCTGGCACGTGCTCGCGGCGAGCGCAATCTCATGCTGCTCGAGGAAGCCAGCATGACAGATCGCAGAGAGTTCTGGGAGAACAGGCGCTGGAGGTGGACAACGTTACATTTACGATCTGAAAAGGTTATGGCTATACCTGATAAAAACTAGACTAAACCGCACGTGTGTTATACTGACCGTAATTGCGTGAGGCGGGGAGTCGTGTCGCAGATGTACTTTGTAAACTCTGTATCGTTGCGTGTCTTTCCCCGCGATCAACTCCTTTGCGCCTGTTCGATCAACCAGTGAAAGAGTGGCACGGCAGGCATGCATTTTGCAACTATGAACATGAATGAGAAGAATTTTCAATCTGAATGCCTGGCATTGACGATGTGATAATGATACCAACTCAAGTCTGCCATCTGCCAGGCGGATACTGTTCCACCCATCGTGCCGTTGAAAAAAAAACCAAAAAACAAAAATATATCATGAGCCCGAGCTCAATGAGAGAGTAAAAAAGAAAAGAGCACGCACACGAATGAAGACAAAGATAGTAATGTCAACAGAGAGGGATATAGAGGATAAGAGAATAACATAAGAAGATAAAGAGAAAAAGATGAATGAGGCAAGAAAAGATAGTACATATAGAATACAAAATAGAGAGAGAATATCTGACAAGATAATATAAAATTGGGTTCGAAAACAAGGATCAAAGAACAGAATACTCTCGCTAAGGATACATAAGGAAGATAAAGGACGATAGATTAAGAGAGAATATTATAATATAGAAATAACAAAGAGCAGAACAATATAACCGGACATATAACCTATAATAGGAGAAAAATAAAGAAAACGGGAGAGACAAAAAAACAACACACTCATTATGAATAAGGATCGTGCTATCAGATAACATTATTAAACAGTAGATAGATGAATGATTGATGAGATAAAAATAATGTACTGGCAAAGGAGACAAGAGTAGAAAAAATATAGAAGGAGAAAAATAGAGATTTATAATATGGATCATATATACGATCAATACACCCAAACAAAAAAAACACATAATATGGGTATAGGATAAAATATATAAATAGATGGATCACACAACTCTAACAATAACAAAAACATAAGACAATATAGAAAAATAAAACCATAGCTCAGGGTATAGGTATAAATTAGTATATAATATAATATCAAAATAATTAATGCATAATACACAGGAGGGAGGAGGGGAAGAAGAAAAGAGACAAAGCGAGAAGGACAAGAAAAATAGAATAAAAATTGAGCGACAGAAATAATAAAAATAAACTCAAGAGAAGAGAATACACAGAAGAATAATAGATAAGAAAAGACAAGAGGAAAGAATATAGTGTAAGTGATATACATAGATATAAAGAAGTAAAGAAGAAGAGAAAACGAGAGAAAGAGAAGAGCCGACTGAAGACTGCAGAGGCACTATGATGATCCCCGCTGGGTCTCTACTCTCAGGCTACATTAATTGACCACGCAGTTCATGTATCCGGCCGCCCGCTGCATAAAGAACATCCACACACAGCCACAAAGCCTATAGCGGCACAGACTGAGAAGTGTAGACTGATGTCCCGACATTACCTTTTGGAATAACGATTGAACTTGCGATGAGGATGTTCCAAATATCCGTGTTAAGCAAATTTGATCCTCAAGGGATTGAAGCTCTCTGCGACTGAGTGTTCTGAAGCACGCACAAGCGTGATTGCACACAATCTGGATATACCACACCGCCCGCCGACCAAGAATTATTCGTCAGAACCCTATTAGTGAGCAGCCCACCCACAAGCTTCGATCAGCTGCATTAGGCTTATGGTCATGCTCAGTTCAGGCCATCTGACGCATGTTAGTCAATGTAAGGTATACTTGTATGCTCACATAACTGATATATTCTGCCTGTCTTCTCACGAAAGGGACAGGTGACAACAAGCCAAGGGCGGTCACTTGCTGCCCTACACACCAGCAGAGCTCCTCATTTTGAAGGATGGAGGAAATAACTCCGCTGCCAACTCAGACTGATTCTACTACATTCAACACTACGCTAATGCAGCTTCAGCACGTTGAAAAATTAAGCATCTTCAAATGTTACATCTGGGTGTGGCAAAAGTGCAGCTGCGTGCATGTTTTCAACGGCTGTGTCAACAGACCCCGACAAGAATGTACGATCGGGAAAACAAGCAAATAACAGTACAAATAGCCTGGACAATCCACATCATCCCTCACATATATACACAACATGCCAAATAAAAAAACACAAAAAATGACAAAAAAAAAAATAATATAATAATAGATAAGCAATAAAAACAGAAAAATTTTATCAGATGTAACCAAAACTGTAATCATAGCTGGTCCCACCTCCAGCATGGTCCTTGTTCTGAACTCTATGGAGCTGGTGTCATGATGAGTGGTTCCTCAGCACTCGGAGGAGTCGCGCCTACCAGTTTTTCTATGACAAAGCGTCACACACAGCTTAAATTGTCAATCAGTTCTTTTTTCTTGTTGTCTCTAACGGCGTCGACCCCCACGAAACCCAAAACACCTAGCACAAAATCACTATCAGCATCTGCGGCGACTACCACGAAGTGTGAGGCTCGTCAGCTGATGAATCCCAGCGGGTGGAGACGCCCCGCTGCTAGAGAGAGGTGGGCTGGTCACGTGATATGGTGAACGACCTCCTAGCATCTACATCACGTCTCGAGCGCGCGCGCATACGGCTTCCCCAGTCTCTTCAGAGAACGAGAGGACCAGTCCCTACTCCAAGCACGTCTCTACTTACAAGAGCTTGTACTTCTGGTACTCCCCCACGAAAACACAACAACAACACCAACAGACGGACATGAAGTCGCAAGGAAGACTTCAGAGACCCCAGAAGATGTAAAATTAAGTTTTTTGAATGTGCTACGCATACTGCAGCCATCACCAATTTGTCACTAATAGACGGGCCGTTTCACCCACATTAGATCATCAATCTGCACGACCGAGAGAAAATCGCCTGAAAGTGAATCTATTGTCAACCCTACTTGCTATCGTCGGTGTCGGACTGGCCATTTTTACGTTTGAACCACGAGACCAATATAAAACTTCTCGCCACGTTAGAAGATATTTACTGACAAGTGGCGTGCTCCGGAAAGCTGAAAGAGCAGCAAGTCTTTCTACCGCACAACAGGGATTCACCCACGCTCCGCCCTCCTCTCTCGTCCCCGAGGAAAGTACTCCCCGCTTAGCGCGCCAAAGTTCTTCTGGTCCTCTCACTCTGCGCCCCCTCCCTGTCTTACACGCCTCTCTTCTTGCTGTTATATGCTCTAGACTGTGAGACATGGCTTTTCGTCCCAGACTCATGACTGCACAGAGCTAAATCCTCACGCTTGTTGTACTCCGCATACATGCAGTAACATACACTAAATCTTGCAGAACTGACGTCGACTTTTCTTAAACCTGCCCGTCGTCTCTAGAGAACTTCAGGGTGCGCGAGGGTGCGGTCCCCACCACCGCTCATGCCGCGTGGGTCACGCGCGCTATGCTGGTCCTAGTCATGTGACCACGTTCCCTCTTAGTTAGTAGTGGAGGGCGTTCATAGTCCGCTAGACACTCCCAGGGTGCGGACGGCACAATGACAGACAAAAGAGTCTCTACACTGAGCGTAACATATTAACAACTGTTCACATGACTCACTCACATCAACCCACCCACGGAAAGTCACCGCCGTCCCCACACCCACAACCTCCCAGGCTCGCCCGCCCGACACGATCGCTCAACCCGCGACCCGGCGCGGCGCGCCGACGTCGGTCACGCTGCCATTGCCTGTGCGCGCACGAGCGCCAGATGCGAACCACACACAAGCCACGAACTAGGTCGATCACCACAGACCCCTTCTCTCAGACCACGCCCGGCACCACCCCATCCGCCGAGCAGCAGCCAGACAGGCAGACGCCTCAGCGAAAATAATGACAACGCCCACAGGCGCCGCCACCAACTGACCGACTCACAGAACCGTGTCTAATAGCTACACACACCCCGACCGATACTAAATGTAACCAGTATCTAGATGAGGTGCAGTCGTAGCGCACCAGTACAGCCGGTCGACGATGGGCGCGCAGGGCGCGGGGGCCCGCGCTAGCTAGAGGCTCATACACCGCCATGTGTTTCGGGCTCTGCGATCTCGCTGAACCCGCTGCTTGTTTTAAACACAGCTGTACTGGAGCCGCCAGCAGCCTGGATGTAAAAATTTTACCTTACACATGTTAAATCATTCTACCCCTTTTCTATTAAAGTAGCGTTACCCTCAGGAACATGATCCCTTATGCGTAAATCATCGGATGACTGTTTCACATGAAACGCAATTTTAAGTAACGTGCACGACACGCCAAAAAGAGTGCTAACAACTGATGAACAATTGCTTTGTATATTTTATCTGGCGTCGTTATGACGCCAGTCTCTCTTTTACAGGAATACGGATATCGTACACATATAGCATGCCTCTCTTCTCCGTCACTATCAACCCGCCAAACCGTCTCTGATTAACTCTCCTGACACACCGTACTTCCACAGCCAACATCCCCATGCCGAACCATATCGCCACTATTTCTCTCCGACTTCTGACCGAAGATCGTAAATTTGAACATCCGAATACAGATTACCAACACAAGAAATATAAACTGTTTGCGCCCCTGAAACCTCCACTTATCTGCGTGAAGTTCTCTCCGCCTCGAACACGGCCTGACGGGTCTCACCAAGCATACGCATCTCACCCATGGCTGTACCAGTGTTTCCACAGCCACATGTCCACCTCTGCCGCCACCCCAGTTCCACACACACCCGCATCAATGGCCAGGACGATACAATAACCAAAGGCTCACGAAAGACAGCAGCAGAAAATGTGAAGCCAATGACCTACATCACAGAGCCCAGACCACCACGCCACACCTGCGCTCTTACCCGCAGGTGGGAGCTCGCTCACCGCGCCGCCCGCCGCGCGCTCCGGAGCGCGCCCGCGCATCCCGTACTCTGATCTGCAACTAGCTCGACTGCAGAAACCCACACCACACAAGATCCGTCCGACTCGCAACTAACACAGCACCTAATCATCTACTCCTACCTGGGGCCATCGCACCCCACGGCTCTACGCGCGCCTCTCGTCTCCTCCCTGCTCCAGCTCTACTCGCCTCTGCCTGCTTCCCTGTCTGTCTTCCTCTGCGATCGGCCTCTGAACTGCGCAATAGGACTTCAGCATCCTTCATCCCGACCCCGTCCCACGGGAATACGGCCCCCTTCTTCTTGGGCGAACATTCATTGACTCACTGGCTCGACCATCCTGCTGCCAGCCCTGCCTCGCAGCCCTCGCGCTCAACGCTGGCAGCCGAGCGCCATTGCCGACTACCAAAGTACAACTCTTGTAAAAGAGTGTTGGATAACTCCTCTCGTCTCTGAAGAACTGTGAACCCATATATTATATATATATACGTACAGCAGTAGCAGCTCAACACTCATTCATCAGTTTGAATGCTCACATTGTTATCATTATAGTTATTGTCATAGTGTTTTTGGTGTGGACGGCCGTTAAGACAACAAGAAAAATGAAACTTTGAATATTTACATTTTCATAAAAACTGAGCAATCTCCATGTGCTGAGGAAGCCCACATGACACAGTCAGAAGTTTCAGAACAGCCACTGGATGGACCACAACGATTACATTTACATCTGAAAAAGGTCTATGCTATCCTGTAAAAACTAGTAATTGTTATATATATTGTAATGATCGTGTCCAGTGCTATTTGTACTTTATTTGCTTGTTTTTCCCCGATCAATCTTGTCGGTCTGTTGAACAACCAGTGAAAAATGCACGGCAGCATCTTTTGCACAAATAACATGAAGAGCAATTTATCAAATCTGAATGCTGCATTGACGTATTGAATGATACAATCAGTCTGAGTTGCCAGCGGATATTTCCACCCATCCTTCAAAATGAGGAGCTCTGCTGGTGTGAGGGAGGCAGTGCCGCCCCTGCTGTTGTTGATGTACCTGTCCCGGCAGTGAGAAGACAGGGAGAATTAATCACCGTATGACATAAAGATAATACATTGACGTAACATGCGTCAGAGGCCTTGACTTGAGGCAGGACATAAGCTAAAGTACAGCTTGTTGTCTCTCATAATAGGGTTCTGACAATAATTTTGGTTATACCGATTGTGTGAATCACGCTTGTTGCTGTTTTTCAGAACACAGTCGCAGAGAAGCTTCAGATCCGCTATGGAAGAGATCAAATTTACACATATGTGGGAGACATCCTCATCGCAGTCAATCCTTTCCATAAGATGGACATATACACTTCTCAGGTCTGTGGATATAGGCCTTTGTGTGTGTGTGTGTTTCTTTTATGCACCTGTGCTCATACATTGACTGTGGTCAATAATGTACTGAATGTAGCCCAGCGTATCTCATTAGTGCCTCTGCAGTTCTTCAGTCGGCTGCATCCCATTTAGCCTCACTTCCACACACACACACACACACACACTAACTCACTCTGCCCCTGTCTCTTCCACAGTTCACTGACTGTATTTTCCTCCCAATCATCATGTTATTCTTTGCCTCAAGTTTGTAGCTATTTTTCCTTCCTCTCCTCTCAGAACAAATATAATGTAGCGTATGGACAGATAGTTTGCACTGAGGGGAATGGGTGTGTAGTAGCAAAAAGAAGCAAAGCCACATCATGATAACATTCATTTAATTTTCTAATACATAATATTTGCTTTGTATCAGTTACATTCATGTGCATGTTTTAAACCAGTATTTTCTTTTCATTCTTAACCATCATACCTTAATAGTACACTAAGATGTACATAGGAGCTAAGCGTACAGCTAACCCACCACACATCTTCGCTGTGGCTGACGTGGCCTACCAGTCCATGGTGTCATACAACACAGACCAGGTGAGATTTTAGCTGTTGTTACTAATGGAGTCAAATGTCCTTATAGTGTAATTTTGTAAGCATTATTACGACAAGCTTCACATTAAAATCCTTGCCTTTCTGTGTGCAGTGTATTGTGATCAGTGGGGAAAGTGGAGCTGGGAAAACAGAGAGTGCTCATCTGTTGGTGCAGCAGCTGACCGTTCTCGGGAAGGTGAGTCATAAGTGTCCATAAATGTAAGATTTCATTAACATGTCCTTCCCATTATAGTTTATTAATTCATTAAAGGATCATAAAGTCTTCCTGAATAAAAACATGAAATAAGCTATTTAAAATGACCAAAGTGGATATTAGAAATTCATATTTTCATACAAATCTTTTTCTTTGTGGAACAGCTGTATGTCTTGGCCAGAAACCTGTGTACCTCCAGCCAACTGTGGATATTTAGAAAATTCAATGTCTAAAAGGCACCATCAAGGCACTTTGAACATCCTATGATCAGTTTGTTTGACGCTCCAGCTGAGGCCAGTCACGATTTGCAATTTGATTGAAAAGAAAGTTACATTTCAATTCACTTTTTGCATTTTTTTATAGGTGGAGGGATGAAATAAGAAATCGCAGTGTCACTTTTGATGAGAATAACAGGAATAGAAAGGCTCATGACAGGAATCCATTCATCATTTCATGACAAAGAATTATTGCTTGCACTATATTGATTTCCCAGTTACTTAGCTGGAATAATGGCCAATTCAATTCAATTCAGGCCAATAATCGGACACTCCAAGAGAAGATCCTGCTGGTCAACAACCTGGTGGAGGCTTTTGGGAACGCCTGCACTGTCATCAATGACAACTCCAGCCGCTTTGGCAAGTACCTGGAGATGAAGTTCACGTGCGGAGGAACAGTTGTCGGAGCGCAGATATCTGAGTACCTCCTGGAGAAATCCAGAGTCATCCATCAGGCAGTGTAAATATCACTTCTTTCCTGTTTTTGTTATTTTTGTCAAATGTAAGCAACCACATGACAGTTATTACTGTTCTGACCTTCTTTTGACAATGGCATCAATAGAAATTAGGATCATTTGTCTGTACGTTTTCTTAACATTGCCAAGAAAGTAATTTTTCAGCCTGCTGGCCAGCGATCAGCTCATAATGGAGTCCGTCTCTCTTTCCTTCACCACTACCTTCCTCCATCTGAAACTGGTGGTATTGGCCTTCCACCTGCACTTCAGTCAATCCATCTTTTCTTCTTATCATGTGTCTGGGGAGCGAACCGGGTCAAGTGGAGGGGCTAGCTTATTTCCTGTTTGATCAATGATTGTGGTCTTGCAAGTATCCTTAGTGGAACTTCAAAGGCAGCCTCAAGAATACCATCAGAAAACAGACAAAGAGGTCAGAGGGTTTGATTTGGCTGCGAGCATTGTGTGTCGTTACACTTTTCTTCAGCCTGTTATTGGATACTAATTTGGGGGGATGGCAAAGAATTATGCTTCAAAAGAGGCATTCATATTTCATTACTGCTGTCAGGAACATTATGGTTTTTTTATTTGTTTGTTTGTGAGGATTTTGGTAAGCAGAATATTTAAATGACACATTTTAATGGTTAGGCCAATAGTTCTGCCAATGGCTTTCTTCTATAAATTTAGCCATGTCAAGATTTTACTAACTAACAAAGCTCCTGCAGAGCTACAGAAGACATTGTACAACTGTTTTCACTCATGTAGAGGCCCTAAACTGAAGGTTTAGGTTATTAAGTAAGTAAAAATAATAACTAAATACATCATAAATAATAGTTTTACTCAAATAAATAACGCTGAAATAATGCAATGTGGTGATTTGTTTGCATTTGTCAAATATACAGACTGTATGGACCTTTGACAGATTTTATTTTTATTTTACATGATATGATATAATATAATATGATATGATATACAGATATGGATACATTCATCCTCAAAAAATAGCCTAAGTATTTAACTAAAAATATTATTTATTGATGTATTTCGTTATATTTTTTACTTGTCTGATAACTGTTTTCTACTAGAAAACTGTAAAAATAATAACTTAAATCCAGTCTGTTTATACTAGAAAACAGTGATATGCTTCTCTAACAAAAGATGGTGCATACATCTTGCAAGGCTGAGTAATTCTCCTGTCTGCTTTTTAGGTTTCAGCTTGTTTCCTCCTTATTCATTGTCTTATGTTTGCATTATTTTCATTTTACCCCGCTGGCTTTAAGACCTGACTTTCCAAGCTACATCTTGTGTTTCCACAGAGGGGAGAGGAACTTCCACATCTTCTACTACATTTATGCTGGCCTGGCTGACAGGAAGAAACTAGCCCACTACAAGCTTTCTGACAGCAAAACACCTAAGTAGGTTTGACATTTCTTAGCCCTTCTCTTAAACACTGTTATTTCCCACTCACAAAGCAAACTTCCTACTTCCTGTGACCCACATTGTGATCTTCGTGTTTCCTTTTTGATCTGCAGGTATCTGTGCAACGAGCACATTAAATTAGGGCCTGACATAGTGAGCAACACCTTCTACAAGGAGCAGTTTGATGCAGTGGAGCAGTGTTTCAAAGTCATTGGATTCACCCTGGAGGTACAACTTACTGCATTAATTACTGGGCGCAAAGCTGATCGTGGTCTGCCAACAAGGTTTAACAGCATAATCTTGATCTTTACGTTCACACATGCTCTCACACTCATGTATTATATTAAAATATGTGTATAACTAAAAGACAACTAGTAAGTAGGTATACCAGTAAGCTCGAAAAAACATACAAAACATACGCTTTAAAACGCACAAGTAGTTCCTCACGTCCACTGTACGGCATGTGATGGAGCATGAAGCTACAGGCACATGTAGGCAGTCAGCTGTTAGCATTGTGGAGGCTAATGAAGCTCAAAGAACTGATTGCCTCTGGGATCTGCACGTCAATAGTACTTATCGTGTAATGACTTGGCAGTACTGAATGAAAAACCTTTTCTTCAACAGTACATCTTGTCTTGCATGAAATCAGTGTGTATGAAGAGGATCTTTGAGTTTATCTATCTTGAGACAGTAACTGCCCTTTAGGAGAGATATTGCATGTGTCAGGTTAAACCAGTAGACAGATTTCCAAATTTCGCTTCAGGTGAATAAAGGAGTTTATTTTTATTTTATTTACTTTTGTTGCCACATGTCATCTCAAACCTATTTGTTTTCTCAGTAAAATGTAAGGTTTGTTAACTGGTGCTCTTTTCGTTGTGTTTTTAGCTAATTAACTTGTATATTTAGTCCACACAAGCCATTGTCATTGTGACCGGACACAAAACATTACGTCCTATATAAAAGGACATTTGATTAATCGGTCAATTTAAATATAATGGACCATATTACAGCACTTGAATTGAGATAAAAACAGTACAACTCCTCCAAAACATCAGCCTTCATAGCGCTCACATTTGTTGGGAGCTCAAATATTTACAAAAGTTTTTAATTTGAGGGTAAAAATTACTCATTTTAGATACTAATAATGATTAATGTGCTGGAGTGCTGACCACCAGCAACACCTACAATGGCAATAACTCACATCAAACAATGACAATGATCTAATTCAAGTACTACTGTGTTATATTAGCTGATAATAGAGTAATGAAAAACAGTCATTATGGTATCTTTAAAATTTCCATCCAGATATACCAGTACATGAGGTTGTACAATGTACCTGACTTTATTTGATATCAAGGTGACAACATACTGTCTCCCAAACCCTAAGGTAATAAAGTATTACAATCAATTCTGCAGGAGCTGGGCAGCGTTTACAGCACTCTGGCTGCCATCCTCAACTCCGGCGATATCGAGTTTTCTCCGGTTGCCACGGAGCACCAAACTGACAAGAGCGACATCACTAACATTTCTGTCCTGGATAACGGTAAGAGGAGAGACATCTACATCCCCACTCCTTCCCCTCTCCCTTCTGCTCTCCTCCATTAAACTATTCTTCTGAAATCAGTTAACAACTGGTGCAAACAGGCTATTGCAGTATTGTCATTACCAAACATACAGTCATTAGGCAATGGTTAGAGTTAATGGAACTTTGTTTTCCTCTGGTACTATAGATCCAAAGCAAGAGAGCATGAGTGTCCTTTGTCACTTATTTTTCTGTGCACCCCAGAACTCTAAAACATTATTTTTTATATCTGAGGAGAGTTAAGGTTGCACATTTGCACACCCTGCATGTATTGCTTGCACTCATTCAACTTTAGAAATGTTAACTTTCATCCCATTCCTTATCTAATGTCCCCTTAGTGGCATCACTGCTGTGTATCCGCTCAGACGAGCTCCAGGAAGCCCTGACCTCCCACTGTGTTGTGGCCCGGGGAGAGACAATCGTCAGGCCCAACACGGTGGAAAAGGCGGCAGAGGTGAGGGACGCCATGGGCAAGGCTCTCTACGGCCGCCTCTTCAGCTGGATTGTCAACCGCATCAACGCGCTGCTGCGGCCCGACAGCATAGGGTGAGATCAGGAGCAGAAAATGTGATGTGTTTGGCTTGAATGCAAAATAAGGTCATCTCAGAAAGTTTCTACACTTGTATGGATGAAAAACTGCACAATAAGATCACTGCCAGGTCTACTGAAAAAATCCAGAAAAGTAAACTAATGTTTTTCATTTTAGAGCAGCTATTAGAAAGGTATGGTATTTTGTAAAGATACTCATGGTCCCCAGAAGATAAATGCTAATGAAATTGCCTCTAGTGCCACCAGCAGGTTGTTGTTTTGTTGTTAAGAGTGAATGGACTATTGGATGGATTTAGGGACAATTAGCAAGTGTTAGCATGTTAACACACTATAGTAAGATGGTGAACAAGCTTACTTTTATTAGCATTCAGCTCAAAGTTCAACCTAAATATAGTCTTACAGCCCCACTAACATGGCTGTAGACTTCTAGTCTTGTTTTCATCTTAATACATATTTATATATTTATTTTTTACAACCCTGGGTTGTGTTTATCAAAGCTTTCCTTCAGATTCAATTTGTGGTTGACCTCTAAAACATAAAATAAATACATTTTAGAAGGAAAAAAGTACTTGGGGTCTTACTGGTCACAACTTGCAGACATAGTCCACCTGTGACAAGGTACCATAACTAGAGAATCCTTCATTTCCAGAGGTCAGCCGCCAACATGGCACTCGTGTAAAGTAATTGTGATTTTAGATAGAGAGGACGGACATTTTGGAGAAGCTGGGATGCTCCCGAACTGCAGTCATTTGACACAAATGACAAAACCAGTAAACACTTAACTGTAAATGACTTTTCATTCCTCTGACCTCCAGAGAGGATGACAAGGGCTTGAACATCGGCATCCTGGACATCTTTGGCTTTGAGAACTTCAAGAAGAACTCTTTCGAGCAGCTCTGCATCAACATCGCCAATGAGCAGATCCAGTTTTACTTCAACCAGCACATATTTGCTTGGGAACAGGTATATAAAAGCTCGGGCCAGCATCTACCCTAAACTATCAGTAAAATCAAAGAACGCTTTCTGAGTGCTTGAATCCCTCCTGGAAAGCGCTTTCTATGCATTTTTCACCTTGGTACTCCCTCATTTCCATCTAAATGGTGATAACATGTCATCATTTGTCACTCTGCGCTTTAAGAGAGATGACAAGGGTAAAATATGCTGCTGTCTTTATTTACGGGAGAATGAGGTTCGCGATTCTCCCTTTATTCAGTCTCGTGGGTTTGTTCTGCCTTTGGGGGGCAGAGAATGGTTTGCTAATGTTAAATGATTTGGTCTCACCCATGGAGAGGAGCTATAAATCATCCCAAACGAGGGTCAATTAGGAGTTGAAGACAGTTAGCGTTTGACTTAATCTCACTCTTGGGTATTGTTGGCACCAGGCCCAGAAATACATTTGTCCTATACTGCCACCATATATACAGAGCATAAGGGAATTGTAGTGGGCTATGAGATTAAGAAGCATAACCTAACTTGTCACATCTACAGTGAAATGAAGCAGATTTACCTATATGTTTCCATATATGTTTACACATGTGGACATAATATGCCTGCATCCCTGCAGATTTCCTGATGCGGCTCGTTTACTTCGCAGTGTGCAGGTCACGCTAGAATGGGCACGCTGATTTGATGTTGTTTGTTCCCATTTTGTCCTTTTCCTCTCAGAATAGAAGTCTCTGGTAATGTTGCTGAGTCATACTAGGAACTCTGAGAGTCAGTCAACCTGATGTGATCAGGTTAGCTGAGTATAAAGTGGAGGTCTTAGCTTACTTTGCCCTCCAGACCAGATTTATCCAAAGGGGGGAATGGGGGTGTATAATGCAATGAGAGGCAACAAAATCTAGTTCTGGCTTGTTGTTGGTTGGCTGATGGTTGGCCAGTTAATGAAAAGTTTAGGCTCTCTGAACATTCAATCATGACATTTAAAAGTTAAAGCAAAGAGAACAGCTTTAAAGGTGGATTTAAAGGTTCACTTGATATTCCTGCATCTGACATAACAGCACCAAAACAAAACTAAAAAACAGCTTCTGACTTTACAAAGCTGCTCTGTTATTACAGCTGTGCAGCAGGAAACATATCCTCAATCACTTCTGCAGAATCAATCCAACATGATATTCTATTGATCAGATAAGATAAGATGTTCCTTTTTTGATCCCCCATATACGGTGGCCGACACGCGCCGCAAACGCAAAACGGCTTCAACTATCTGGGAATATTGGCAAATCCAAAAATCACATCAACACATAAAAACAAACTCCAACATGAAAAAACGCGAACAGACAGAAATATATGCTTGCAATCACAGACAACGAAGCAGAAGCACAAAACTTACAGAACTACCAAGTACCCAAAACAAATGCCAAAGAAAAATGCTGCAAATTTCAAAAACACATCAAAACTTATAATTTACATAAAATCACCAAAAAGTTTTAAAAAAAAGACGTTTTGCGTATGAGAAAACATAACATTTTTACTCTCCTCTCCAAAAATTAGCCAACTTTCCTTTCTTCTTCTTTTTTCATGCTTCGGGTCTGCCCTATTCCTCTCTTGGTCGGGTCACCTAGTGGCCTGGCAGCACTTCCGTTTTGTTGGAGCGAATTTGCACGTTTCTTCTTCTTAGCAGTTGTTTTTTGGTTTGTGTTTTTTTGAAATTTGCAGCTTTTTTCTATTGGCATTTGTTTTGTGGGTTGCTAAGTTTTGCTCTGCTTCGTTTCTGTGATTTTTCTGTTGCTGGTGTTTCGTTGATTTGTTTTTATGTGTTTGGTGTTTTTGGATTTGCATCATTCCCGTCGTTTGGTGTTTGAAGCGTTTTGCCGTTTGCAGCATGTTTGCCCTTGTCGGCCACCGTACCCATAGGATAAATTCAAGTTAGACACAGCAACATAGGGGAATGTGGTGCAAACAGCAATAAAATAAAAATTGCAAATACAAATATAAAATACAAAGTAATAAATGTTGAATAAATACAAAAATTTTTCTGCGTTTGCTGAACAAGAGCGGGAAAAAGGGTAGGAATGAACAGATTAGGAACTAATGTTTCCACCCAACTTTAGACAGTATTTAGACCTGATGAGAACATTTTAGGCCATAATACAACACAACATGTACATCCAAGAGGTAGCCTTTCAAAAAAAAAAAGAATCTTGTGAATCCATGGTTTTATTCACAGTATCTCCCATTTCTGTACAGGATGAGTACCTGAACGAGGAGGTGGATGCCCGGATGATTGAATATGAGGACAACCGACCTCTCCTGGACCTGTTCTTACAGAAGCCCATGGGAATGCTCTCACTTCTGGATGAAGAGAGTCGCTTCCCACAGGCCACCGACCAGACCCTCGTTGGTCAGTCCCTTCAGCTTACGATTGAACAACCTTTATTTGCTCTGAAAATGCTGACGGAGCCTGTTACTCCCAATGTTATAAGTTTGTTTTACCTACCAGCCTCACAGAACGAAACATTTCTGATCTACCCTACAGAACATATTCGTAGTGGTTGTGGGGGTAATTAACCAATGTATTATTCGATATTTTAGAGAAATTTGAAGATAACCTCAAGACCAAAAGCTTCTGGAGACCAAAGAGGGTTGACCTTGGCTTTGGTATTCACCACTACGCCGGAAAGGTAATTGATATTTGACTATGACAATATGTACATGGAAGTTTTACTTTAAACTGAAGCTACTTGATGTGCGTTGGCCTTCACATAAGTATTCTCTCTCTCTACCTAACTCTAAGGTGATTTACAATGCTGCAGGCTTCTTGGCCAAGAACAGGGACATGCTACCAGCCGACATTGTCCTGCTTCTGAGGTCGTCAGAAAACGAGCTCACTCGCAAGCTGGTCACCCACCCCCTCACCAAAACAGGTAGAGAGGAGAAAAGCTCTTTTTGCATGATGCACAGAAGGTTTTCCCTGAGAAAATAGAAAATAATAGGAAAGTTGTTTGCAACAACCTGTCAATAAGGCAGTTTATACAGTGAGCAGCATACTAAGTAAAACAACAGGCTATTGTTACCTATCTTAGCCAGGCTTTCTTCTCTTGTCTGCCAGACTTTTGTTGTAATAAGCTGGCCTTGGCAGTGAGAGTAACCTTTGTTGGCAGAGCAGACTTCCAGTTCTGTCAAAATCGAATCACAAAGCCAATAATCACATAATAACTCTCTTAAAGTAGTGTTAAAGCTGTCGTATCAAGCTCATATAAAAAGGAGTGAACTCCTCTGGTGTCTGCTCCGTTGAGTTCAGTTAATTAAATGATCAGTTTTTATTTTTTATGGTGTTCAGTGTGACAGGGCCCTTTTCCAGACTTTTAGACAGTTTTCTACTAAAAATAACCTCATTCATTTATCCCAACTGATAAAAAATATGCACGCAGCCCCGTTTCTGTGTTTTATTTTTACATGTACTACTAACTCTCCCCTTGGTGAGTGAGGGCAGTTTGTGTTAACTGATCCCCCCTTTGTTTATTTCACAGGCAACCTTGCCCACACCAAGGGTAAAGGCATAAACACAATGCGCAGCCCGCGGACCCCGACACGCACCATCACCTTCGCCAAGGTACTTACAGCACTGTCTGCATTATCACTGTATTATCTTCTACATCAAGAACTTCCCCTGAAAAGTTGTTCAATATATTTTTTCGTTCTTGTTCTCACTACCAAAGCCAAAAACTGCTCTTGAATTACAATTATCTCTTGTCTTTACAGTGCTTTTCATTTCTACTCTTTTTTTGTCTCCTTTTTGTCCTCCTCTCTCTGTCTGTTTCTGTCTCTCCATTTCTGTCGCAAAAGATGGGAGTCCTAACTTTATACAGTTCTTTTTCTTTTAGTGAGGTAATCAACATATTTCTATACAGTTTGTTTTTGATTATTATTTTACCAATGTAGATAGCCTTACTAGCTCTAGATCTAAAACGTACAAATAGATTAAAATGGTTTGTATTTCTATTAGCATCAGTGACAACTAAACCCTGTTACAATCCATTTTATAGCTTATGCAAAGCAAGCTTTTTTCACTACATTTATACATGTCTACATATCTTTGTGCTCATGCATGTGTGCAACCTTTGTAGGGCGCTATATGTATTAACACTCCCCCTGAATGTATGTATTTCTTTCGGATTGTAGTTGAATGTTTATAGCACCATGGCTCATGCTGATAACTAGTTTAAGTTTAAACTTTTCAAAGAAATTGCCTAAGAAAGTAGTAAAACTTTACAGTTTGCATTCAAAGTATTCAATAATCAGCCAGAGCTTTTTTCAGTTGCCAATGGCCAAATAAGAACTTCTTTTAAAGAAATTAAATGACTTACTCAAGTGAATTCGTTTAGATTGTGGCACTACACGATTGCAGTGCCTGCTAAATATAAAGCTTGAGGCAATTTGCTCACCTAAAAGCAATTGACAGTAGCTAGATTTAAATGAACTGTGTTTGATGAGTCCTTGAATCTATTTCCATTCATCTGCATATGTTAGACAAAAAGCTCATCAAAGGCTTTGCTCTTAAGAGGCACAATGAGCATTCAAAATGCTATAAACAGTATTAGCCTGATGGCTTGCTATAAACTGGTTTCCCCCAGTGTAATAGTGCTGAGAATTAGACATAGAGCTTGTTAAAAAATAGATGCTGGATACAGGTTAATACATTTGTAAGTGTAATGTGTTATATTCATATTGGTGTCTTTATGAGAGCAAATACTGTAAGTTTTTGTTAGCGCATAGTTAATTAGAACAGTTTTTAAGCATTTCATTTATGATTTTGAATTTGTCTGATTTTAACTGAGCACTTTTTGAAGTAATAGCTTGGAGTTGTATTCATGCAGGCCATACTCTTGATTTGGCACTTGTTATTTTTTTTTGTTTATACATTTTATGCGTCTCTTTTGCAGCCTTCTCGGAAATTAAAGCACACTCCTGAAAAAAAAAGCTTGCTTCATGCACCTCTCGATGACACAGTGCAAATGCAAACGGTGATTTTTCAAAGAAGGATAAAAAAAAGTAGTATACAGAAAAATTGTAATGAAAATATCACTTACATTACAATTTTAAAGATGTGAATCTTCTGCAGGTGTGCTTCAGTTGACACAGTTGTTAATACTGTTAAAAACTTTATGTCAGCCAGCGCTCTCATTTCGTCTTGTTATGCTCAACTACCCAATTGGCCTTATGTGCATTGTCCTAAATTTTTCCCTTGCTTTTCATAAAGTTGAATGTAAAGGCATTAGTTTGTAGACACATACAGTATGCCATGAATTATTGTGATTTTTGACTAGCTTTATGTTTATTTGTTCAGCCAGGAGAACCTGGAGACACGCCTTACCACCCAAGAGAAACCACCAACATGAGAACGCAGACAGTGGCCTCCTACTTCAGAGTAAGACTAGTTTCCTTACCTTTTAATTGTTACATAAACCCTTAATAAAGCTGCCTCATGGGTTTCCCTCTTCTTTTACTCTTTCCAGTACTCTCTGATGGACCTGCTGTCCAAGATGGTGGCAGGGCAGCCTCACTTTGTTCGCTGTATCAAACCAAACAACGATCGGCAGTCCAACAAGTTTGACCGGGAGAAGGTCCTAGTTCAGCTGCGATACACTGGAGTTCTGGAGACTGCCAAGATCAGACGGCAGGGCTACTCTCACCGCATCCTGTTTGCTAACTTCATAAAGAGGTCAGCAGGCTCTCACTTCAAGGCTCATTCAGAAGGAAGCAGATCATCAAATGAAAATCAGTGCATGATGTGTGTTGGCCCTTGTATTAGTGTCAGTTTTAGAATTAGCTGATTCCGCTGTCTGTTTCAGGTATTACATCTTAGCTTTCCATGCTCACGAGGAGCCAGCTGCGACTCAAGAAACATGTGCTGCAATCATGGAGAAGGCAAAGCTGGAGAACTGGGCAATGGGGAAGACTAAGGTGAGTAGAGATGTTTCATTTTATTTAACTGAATGTATTGTTCGGCTCTACGTTTGATTATGTAGTATGAAGGAACTGAAGTAGCAGGGCTGTAGGCTTATATTTTTAGGGGCACAAGTGCCTAGGGGCAATCTGGCTTAACTGGGACATTACTAAAGCATTTTGAAACGATGCATTTAGGTTATAAAAAAGGCCAGTATTGCATTGTGTTTCACAACTACATCCCTTTTCAAACAACCAATTGTTTTTAGGCTTTTGCAATTACGCTTGGCATTTGATACAATTTTATCCAATCGGAATCCTTTCAAACCTCTTAGTGAACCTATTTACATCTGCGTTTAAATTAGAAATAACTAAAACTCACAAGATCCAGAAATAACAACTGATGTGCTCAATTTATTGATTTAATATGAATGACATTCTGACTGGGAAATTCTGACTCCTGAAATAAACAAGATACAATCAACTGATGATTTTACTAGAGAAGACTTGACAACAGCAAACAGTCATTCTGACCTGTTATTAAGTTAGTCATGGAACTAACATTTAGTTAATGACAGCTGATATGGCTTACTGTTTTTCCTTTTAATTGGGTATAAATGAGAAGCTGCTTCCTGAATGTTTCATACACTAAACATCGCCAATAACAGCATCAGAACTCACACATTCTTTGGAGTGGTCTATGGGGGAGCAGCATGACTATAAACAGTAACAAATAAACCAGAGCAGCGTGTGATACTGTATGTTGAGTAGCAGTCTGGAAATATTAATATCTCAAATTAGTTCAGCAACTAAACCACCACTAAAAAGGCCAAGTAGAACCCCATGACATTCACTTACTGTGTACAACAGCTTCCCAATAACACTGACAACATAATGGCTTGTATTGATTACACATTTTTATGCCCACATAAAGGCAAGGCCATGCAAAGCAAGACTGCACCTAATTCATTCACACTCCACAACTCTACCAGTTTTATTGTACAAAATGTAAGTAAGATTGTTGTTGCGCAAACATAGAAGCAGTTTTACTGCAACACTCTGAAATTCTTCTAGCAAGTCAGACAAGCATGAGAAAGAACATTATGTGCTACACTGCACTCTGTTGCAAACAGGTGCCACCTTAATAGAAGGAACTTGTAGCTTAAGCAGTAGTTGCACAGAAAAAAAGCAATTTACTGTTTCATTGCAATATTAGTAAATCCAAAATAAAATTGATGTGATGATGAGTAAAGTGTTTTATGTGTGTTCCTACTCGCAGGTGTTCCTCAAGTACTACCACGTGGAACATCTGAACCTGATGGTGCAGCAGGCCACACAACGGATCATTCTGCTCCAGGCTTACGTCCGAGGCTGGCTGGGAGCCAAGCGTTACCAGCGGACATTAAAAGAGCGAGAGCAGAGTGCTCTGGTGCTGCAGTCAGGTTTGTAAACTGCACACTCTGTACAGCTGTTATCTACTAGAACATGAATAAGTCATTTTTCTAATGTTTTTCATGGTTTTTATTCACACTCCAGCCTACAGGGGTCAAAAGGTTCGGAAGAGGGTGGCTGATGAAAAAAGCAAAGCAAAGTTGGAGGCCTTCATCACCCAGTTTCAAGCTGGTAAGAACATGGAAATCAGTTATCCACCACAGTCTAAGCTTTACTGTGTATTACAATGGTTTCCCTTTTTGTCTTCTTCAGTTTGCAGGGGCTATCTTGCAAAAAAGAAATACAACGCGTTGGTCGATGAGAAGAACAAAGCTGCAACCAAGATTCAGGCCCGCTACAGAGGGCACAAGGAAAGGAAAAGCTTCAAAAGGAAACGGTATGAGAGAGAAGAAATTCACACAATATATAGCGCTGACAACAAAAATGGTTTGTTTTTTGACAAAGATGTGCCAAATTTTGTTTGCAGGGATGCCAAAGAGAAAGAGAAAGAAGAGAAAGCCCTTAAAGAAAAAGAGGAAGAGACTACTGAACCAGATACCAATGCCCCTGCTCCTGACAACGAAACCAAGAACGATGAAGAGGAAACTAAGGCGGCTGTGGTTCTCCAGAGCAACTACAGAGGCTTCAAAGAGAGAAAAAAGTTTAAGGAGAGAAAAAAAACGATGGCTGGGGCTGAATTAGAGTTACCACCAAATGCAGTGGAGGAACAAGAGGGTGGGCAAGACCCTACAGGCAGCAAGGCAGAGGAAGGAGAACAAACAGCTGATAAACAAGAGGAGAATGAGGAAGATGAAGAAAGCACTTATGAAGCTGAGGAGAATGATGACAGTGATCACACACAGGTGCCAGATGATGAACATACAGAAGTGGCAGATGAAGCAGTGATTGAGGACATACCTGCAGCAGATGCTGGAAAAGAAGGGCAGGAGGCAAACAAGAAGGAGGAGATTGGACAAGAAAAGGCTGCAGGTGAAGAGGTTGTCAAAGTTGAAGAAGAAACCAAGGCTGCCACTGTTCTCCAGAGTAATTTCAGAGGTCACAAAGAGAGGAAGAGGTTGCAGGAAGAAGGCAAGATCCCAGCTAAGAAACAGAAAGCCAAAACTGGTGAAGAAGAAGTGCCCACAGTGAGCAGCCCTACAGCTGCAGAGGAAATCACAAAAAAAGAAGAATCAACGGAAGCTCAAGATGTGGCAGATGTTTCTTCAGTTGATATCCAGTTAGAAGACCAAGACGAGACCAAAGCAGCTGTGGTGCTTCAGAGCAACTTCCGCGGCCACAAGGAGCGCAAACGACTCGAGGAGGAAGGAAAGATCCCTAAAAAGAGGAAGAAAAAAAAGGAAGTTACACCAGAACCTCCAATAGAAGAAGAGCAGGTAATGCAGACAGAAGAATCAGTGCCAGAATCCCAGTCGGGGCCTTCTGCAGAGAACCCGGAGGGACTGGATGAGGAAAAAGCTGCTACTGTCCTCCAGAGTAACTTCAGAGGCCATCGGGACCGAAAGAAACTGAAAGCAGAGAGAGAAACGCAGCAGAAAACAAAGGAAGAAGTTGCCAAAGATGCAGAAGAGGAAACTAAAGAAGAGGCAGAGGAGGAGGTTGTGGATGTTACTGACGTGGTGATAGAGCACAAAGAGGAGACAGATGCTGAAAAAGAGAGACTGGAGGAAGAGCAGGCTGCAGTGAAGATCCAGAGTAACTTCAGAGGGTACAAGGACAGGAAGAACCTGAAGGCCAACAAGCAAACAGCGCAGTCAGAAGCTGCGCAACTAGAGAGCTTCTCGAAAGAGGTAAAAATGAATAAACACATTTTATCAACTCTCCAACTCGCCCTTCTTTTCACTCATATATTGTTTATTGTCAAATCTCTTCAACAGATCACAAAGACTTCTCAGGATTTTCTGGCCCTGCAGCAGAAGTTAAATGAGATCATCCAGGCCCATCAATCAAACCCAGAGAAAAATGGCATGTTTGTGAGAGGAAAAGCAATCAATGGCATTGTTCCCCCGAATCAGCAATCAAGTAAGACAATTGAGATTGGCTCAGTGGAAAAGAGATTATAAAGCAATAAATATAATGCATAATGTTTGGCACGTATTGACCCGAGGTTAATGTGCTTCTTTTGGTTCTGTTTTTGAAGTCTCGAGCCATAAAATAGTTAAGAAAGACAGGCTGCCTGTCTGATGAGGAAATTTATTTTTTCTATTGGTGTATTCATCCTTCTCCGTCTTTGTTTTGTCTTTTACTGAGGTGGAGTTCACATTCACCCATGTAAGAGTGAAACTGTGCATTTCTTGCCACACTAAAAAAAAGGAAAGAAAAGATTATGTTTAGTTCAGTATTTTTTATTAAACTCTTGTTTGATGTTTTCTGGACAGAATAAAGGACAGATTTGTATTACCGTCGTCTCACAGATGAAGACGATTGTTATCGACGCTGTTCTCTTTTCTCTCTCGTGAGGCTCGATTAGATCAGGAAACCTGGGAAAAGTCAAGTGCCAAAATAGGAAGCGCTTCTCTACCCAATGTGTCATCAAAAATAAAATTTGATTTGCACAGGTGATAGGGGTAATTGCTTTGAGGTGGCGAGCGAGGGGGAGACAGCAAAATTAAAGTTCACCATCTTTGCAAAACGAAGCTGGCAGCTAAAATTTCACCGTCATTGTGGGTTCAGATGTTGTGAGAAAATAATGTAATAATAACAATAATTTACTTTCCTTGGCTGGCATTGTGGGTATTTTATTGTTTGTGGATTTTTATTACAAAATATAAAGCAGAATTTTTCAGTGTCTTTTAAATATTTTAGTTTTTGGATGATTTATAATTAAAACTCATATAAGAAGTTCAGTTGGTCTTGCTACATGCCCACAGTATGTAACTTCAACTTCATGTGGCAGACTGGATTTTTTTAAAGTAACCACAGTCTTTCCCTAATGTTAACCAACTGCGACTCATAATTTTTGTTTAACACTGGCTTCACAGTGCCAATTGTGGTAAACGATAAATTGAATTTCATTCAATTTCCCATTATTCAGTCAGTAGCTTTAAAGACATCATCATCATTTTGTACCATTAGCCACCATAAGCTCCCGGTGATACCAGACCAAATAAGGTTGCAACAGAGAAAGTGTGTTGAAGTTAGTAAAGCATTTTATGGCTTAAATTAAACTTCTCATATGTAGATGAAGATTTCATTTATTTTTTCAAATGTTACATACTCTCACTTTAACATAGTGTTTTAATTTTCCTAACCATAATCATACTTCATTCCATAGTTTTTGTCTAAAGCATGATCTTTAAGTTAAAAACTCCTTGTAGTAGGTTTAGGGAGCTTGAGAGGTACCAGCGAGGTAGGCAGATTGTTAACTTAAAAGCAGAACCAGGCTAGCTGTTTGCCCTTGTTTCCAGCTAAGCTAAGCTAACCAGTTGCTGGCTCTAGCTTGATATGACAGTATTATTGATGTTATGATATTAAAATGTCCAGCTATTTCTTCAATATGCAGTTGTAGATGTACATCTGCTTAGATCAGATTTTATTTTGATGACAAATATACGGTTCAGTTAAGAGTGATTCTTAACAAACATTACACACGCATTACTCCACAGAGAGTTTCTAGTAGAGCAGAGTGTTCCTTTAATCTGGGCATGTTTGCCCTTTACAGGCTTTTCTTTAGCACAGCAGTTTGCCTGAGGTAAAACAGAATGAATTATCTGTGTTATTTCCAAAGGCTACTGCAACTCCCTACGAAATTATGCTTCTCAGCCCCATTTCTCCATCAACAGTCCTAAGCTGTCCTTGTAAATTTCTTTAACATAATAAACTTGATCAGAATCATTTGTGACACACACAATGAAAGCAGAGGAACGCCAGTCAAATTGTTCTTCATGGGAAAGGTCATCAAATGTTAATCACGTTTTGTGAGCAAGCGTTTCCAACAATTATGGCAGGAATTAATAAGAGGGGGTGTGAAATTGGCTTTACTCGTTTGTGCAATACAGAATGACCTTTAGATGAAGTTGTTCAATAATATTACAAACTTTTCACCTACTTTACCTTAAAGCTGCTGCACATGATGGATTGTTTTTTGCTGTGTGTTTTCCCTTGCATGAACAGTGATTAATAATCAGCAGCAAGCAAAGGTCATTGTAATATGTTATAAGTGTAATATCACATGCCCAAAGAGGAATATCGTAACAGTACATCAGTCCCAAACAAATATGATAAATTGCAACACATCCTCTACATTATGGAGGATGTTGTATGTGAAAAGCTGCCCAGCTGGTCACAAACCCACCTCTCTCTTTAAGTTCAATACAGTGCGGGGAATCGAACATGGATCGTCACAAAGTTATAGGTCACTTTGTTGGTGTCAAAGGTTGTTTCACATAATCTCTGTTGGAAAATTCACACTTACCAAAGGCCTTAGGGTTAAACTTCAATATGTATGGAGGGTAGTTCAATAAGCATTAAGTCAAAGTCATAAGTCAAAGGTCAGCATTGTGGTAGATCACAGTCAACAGTCTCTTCTGTAACCCAACCAACCATGTATGTATTGATCCCACTGGCTCTCGAGCTATTTGAAAGTGTTTTGCTGCACTTTTTTCAAACCTCCTTCAAATCCCATCACAGGGAAAAAAAAACACCAGATCACTTCACATCATGCTATAAAGGTCACAGGTTTCTGTAGACATTATCACCATATTTACTTAAATTTAAGGTAGGACATACGTTGGAAGTTGGACTGACTAGTAAGTATTAGGAAGTAATAAGGTTTATTTTGGTGTATGGGTACACCAAAATAATAAATACTATTTTAAAAGCAATGATGATATGTAAAGGTTTATTTAAGGTCAGTGCCCAGTCTACACTTCTACCAGGAAGAAATAGCACATCACTACCCCGGTGTCTTTTATCTCTGAACAAATAGACAAGTTTTAACCATCGTTGTTACTTTCCAGCTGACAAGAGATTGTCAAGGACCCCCCGCAGAACCCAGCAGCCAAAGACCCTCAACACACCAGAGGACTCCACCTATTACAATTTGATTCATGTGAGTCATAGAAAGAGATGGAGAACGATTTCAGATATTTACTACAACAAAGCACTGCTGTCTGCTTCCATGTGACGCTGTAACTACTTCCCCAGCTATTGGCTTCCACAATGAACTATTGATTGACAATTTTTCTTCCTAGTACATATGTTCCCAAGGCAAGAAATATCAGCCTATTACAAAGCTGTCTGGAAAAGTTTCTTTAGTACATTTGACAAATAATAATATCTTTAGCAATGTTTTTCATGTTCTTTAAGCAGTTCCTTTTTATTAATTGTTCTACTTATGCAATTATTTGTAATGTTTCATAATTTCAGCGAACAATAGCTCAGCGCAGAGTAGCTCCTTTCGTAGCACTTAAGGTTTGTTTACAATGCTGTCACTATTGTTTAGTTTACCTTTACTGTAGACACAGTAAAATGAATTTAATCAATAGTTTAATGAACTGCTAATGAAGACCTAACTTTTGATAAAGAGTAAGAAACTTTAGCAATAATTGTGCCACTATTGTAGTACACTACAAAAACATGATTGATTAATAGCTTGATTACTCCCTTACAAATCTGATCACATGTATTGGAGCAAAAGTCCCTAAAAAACTTTAAGTTAATGACATTTAATATTTTAGAAATGCCTCTATTGCTCTATCTTTCACAAATATCCAAAACAGTGGTTCCCAACATGGGGTCACATTTATTGGGGCTGTGAACCTAGTTATAAATTAAAAATAGTCAACTATTAACTTGAACTAGTTTATTTTAATCTGTGTGAAGTAGAATTTGAGCTAGCACACTGCTGATACTCTCAACCTTATTGGAGTGCTACAGGAAAAGTCTGGGGATCACCAAAGTCATAATGATTCATCCTCTGGGTACCATGACTATATGTGCAAAATTATATGGCGAGCTATCAAATAGTTGTTGAGATATTTCAGTCTGGGCCAAAGCGGTACCAACATTTCTATTCATATCCGTGTCGCTGGCATAGCTAAAATGGTCATAACTTGTAAACAGATGCAACCCGTAATGGACCAAATAGCCGTTTTGCTTCGTATTGAGGGGTTACAAACTAAAAAGGTTAGGAACCACTGTTCTAAAACCACTTTCTTTTGCTTTACCTGAACACAGAGATTAGCAGTGTTTGACTGACATGTAGTAATCTGTCCTTCCCCTTGTCTCTCCACTCAGAGGTCTGTCCAGGATGATAAACGCAAGCCCAGGAAAGAGGAGTAAGTGGCCGGTTCTTATTTCAACCTCATTTTAACAACCTATCACCACTGTTTTAAGAGGCTGGCCTGCTGCCTGCCTGCTTGGCACGCAGGGTCCAGAGTAATGACTGTAGCCCGGCACCAACATAAGGACAGTGTCTGGGTCCAAACTTAACGATCTGCAGCATCACACCCATCCTCAGTTAAATTAATTAGCCTCATCTTTCACCATGGTTACATTAGCTAAGTATACTCAGTGAAACGTAATGTTAGGTATCACAAATATTTGGGATGTTGGTATGTAACCTGCAGATCAAATCTTAGAAGAAAAAAGCAAGAAGAAAGTGTGTGTGGATGTGTGTATTCATGCATATGTATGTGCTGTAGAGGCCACAAGGTGAGCGTACCGCCCAGAGTGAGGGGGTGAAGATAGACCGATAGGGCTGGCTGAACAAGTAAGGGCCAGGGTACTTTATCACAGCAGTCTGAAGAGGCACACACACACACCTTGTTGTACACACACACGGTGCAACACAGCGCTAAACATCAAGGGTAATAATTTGTTAGGAGATAAATAAAGCCAGCGATGGACAGGAGCAGTTTACATGCATCATTAAGGATGAGAAGGTCAGCAGAAAAGATAGCATCTTAGGCCAAAGCTGACAGCAGAGGAGGATGGGAGATGGGAGAGTGTGGGTGGTAAGAGGAGAGGAAACTGAGGAGTAGAGAGAGGTGATGATAGTAAATGGGAGTAAAGACATACAAAAGGAGAAAAAGGGAGGCAGAGATAATCAGAAAACAGTGATAGTGAACTACAAATATCTTTATTGTATTGCCAGTATCAAAGCAATGATCTATTACGTGTCTATTTGGTACCCTGTATCTAAAGATGTGACATAACAGTGATTCAACCCATTGCCAGCTCATAAAATATTTCGTATTTGCCTTTTTAACACTTGATGTCGATGCCATTTCTCTGGAAAATTCCCGCTTACCAGGGAAAGCAATGTCTTATGTTTCTGATAGCAGCCACAGTAGTTTGTTAGCATGAGCAGCGAACCAGGGAGGAACCAGCCCCTGAACCAGTCCTGGTTCAGCTACCAGGGCCGAACTGGTCCCCTGGTGGCTGAATAAGGCCTAAGCAGAAAAAAAGGATAGCATATACAGAATACAAAACTAAAGCTCAAATTTCATCAACTGAAATTCATAAATATGAGTCTATAGCTATGGTAGCTGTTCTGTGAGGTTGAGCATGGCTTTGAGCTAAATGCTAACGTCATAATGGCAATCCTAAAGTTCTGATATGTAGCAGGTATGTCTACCATGTTCCCTGTCTTAGTTTAGCGTTAGCATGCTAACATTAGCTAATTAGTACTAGATACAGGTATTTTGATCATAAACCAAAATATTGGAGAAATACACATTTTGACACCAGCTGAAACATTATTGTTTAAATGTATTACCAGACTTATTAAAGTTCATCCAGGTTGTGAACATGAATATCTGAACCAGATTCAGTTCAGTTGAGATATTTCCAGAAAAAACACAGAATTCAACCTCATGGTAGCACTAGAGGTAAAGCAAGGGGGTCACTAAAGGCATTAGGATAATGATACAACAAAAGATATTTTAGAGAAGACCTGACCTTTAAAGTCTCTGAAAAGGGGAAAGGTTTAACCAAAAACATTTCAAACACTTTATCTAGTGTACCAGCATGGGTTATTATTGTCAGAAACTTGTACTATAACTATAAAATGATCAACTTTGGTCACTTTAGCCTACAAGCTGTACTTAACTTCAATATTACTGTATTAAAGTATTTCATGCACTGATCCAGATCTGTGTTTAAAAACTGAAAAAAGTGCTCAATGTCATCAAGGTTTTCCTCTTAGACCATTATTTATCACATAATTCAGCCAGTTGCCCAGAGAAGAGGGAGATACTGTAATTACAATCAAGGAGACATTTTCATTTCAGCCTCAGAACAGCACATTGATCATGATTCATCAGTGGGATGATTGCATGTCTGTGGTTATAAGGTCAGGTCGGGCCTCAAACTCATCACATTGTTAGATCATCAGAATTTATTGGGCAACGTTGACACCTTCTGATGTTGCAGCACTGTAGTCATGAAGACACTGATTTCCAATAGCAGTCGTCACCATATGTTAATAATGTGTGAGACGCATTGATCTCCACATGGAAATTCTCTTTTTTTCCTCCTGGCTTCTGTTCATATGAAGGTCAGATTGTAGGTTTGTGGGCCAGTTAACTGTCAAGCCAAAGACGTATCTCAATCTAAGGTCCTACCAGGACATTAACATGAAAACAGGCAATAGATCACAGGTGTGTCCCCTCTTAAAGAGATGCTGGACATTAAAATATCATGAATAAAAAGACAATATATAAATTATAGACTTATCAGAAGTCGAATAAATACAATTTGCAGTATTTCTTCAAAGTTAGTATACAAAAAAACAATAAAATGTTTTTCATTTAGAACAGGAAATCTTGAAGCCTGTATAAATACAAATACGAATATGAAAACTTCATTGTCCATGTGGAAATTTGTCTCCAGTTTCATGTGTCATAAAAGTACAACTCACAAAACATAAAAACATTAATAAAAGTAAAAAGTACATCTGATACACACTGTTGTGTTTATTAAAAATGCATTGTATCGATATATTGAGATATTTTATGTCCAGCTTAGTCTCAATGGGAGAAAAGGTCTTGATTTCAGTCATTTACCTGTAGGAGGAGGAGTCTGAAAGCGTCTATGTTTATTGCTTGGTAGGAACATGACAAAGGCTGAAATGCATTGTTGGTTTACAAAATCACTTCCTATCACATGCAACCTATAGTACTGTGTTAACAATATGTAACTGAGGACATTAATAAAGGGAAGTCAATCAAACAAAACTACATATTTCAGAAGAGACCTGGCACCAGATGTCTTTCGTTAAAATGACCACTATAGGTTTAGACTGTCCAAAAATAACGAGTACTGAATGTCCGATTGACACCAAGTCTGTCCTCCTCCAACGTCCATCTACCCCTTCTGTTCTTGCTCCAGTCCAGGAAAGCTGCTGGATGTGGATGACCAGTACTATCGGTCACTGCCCACCAGCAGGTCTGAACCCTGCATCTCCACAGAGGACACGTCCCTCAGTGACACCCCTGAGATGAGGCAGCCTGCAGAGCTGAGACCAGATGCTGCAAGCAGACCGACCAGAGAGCGGGCCGTCACTGACCCAGAGCCTCTAAAACCTGCCAGTGACAACAGGTATTCCATGTCCTTTATGTCCTTTTATGCTGAGACACTGTAATTCCCATTATCATATATATTTTTTTTAATTTGTGACAGTAAAGTATCTCAACTCAAAGGTGCTCTCACTAGCTTTTTGGGACCAACCACATCTCATGATTTTCAAAAGCGACTGGAACTGGCTCAGGTGACCCAGATTGAGGTTGTAAATTCCCTCTTTGATCTTCCTCCAGCTGTCATCTGACTTAAAGTTTGTGTACACTGAGGCAATGAACTTGCAAGAAAACAATGCAGCTTATTCACAAAGTACAGTAAAAGTTATGCTGTAAAATTAAATTGTTTTGTTCAATAAACTGATTAAAAAGGCTGCACTCAGTGATATTTTAATTTGTGTTAACATGGTCACTCTGTCAGCTACTGGTAAAAGCAAACATTTTAATTTTTAAATGTTAGATGGTAACATAAACTGAGATATGCCCATAATAATCTAATTAACGTTACAGAAAATTGGCTTTGACAAATAATCATTAAGAGAGGATGTATCCCACAAACAGTTGCAGAGCAAGTTTTATCTGCGTGTGCCTGTTATTATATGTAAGAACAGCAATCGTGAGTACTTCCAAAAAGTGTCACACCTGCATGCTGTATTCCAGCTGGTCAAAAGACAGATGTTGAAGAAATCCACATACAAATTTAATCTGTTTTTCAGTCCTGCCTGGCCATCAGACAGCCCGCGTTCATGATAAATGATCACTGAGGATAATAAACAATATGAAATCTTTCCTCTCAACATGACTCATTTCATCTCCTTTCTCACTCTGATTTTCTTCTGGTTCCATTTCTCTAACTTTGTGTTGAATTTGTTCTCTCCTGTGTCGTGCTGACAGACGCTCTGTTCCCAGAATGCCCTCCGCGGAGAGCCATACTGACGACAATCCGTACGACTTCAGACATCTACTGAGGAAGACCTCCCAGAGACGGAAGCTCATCAAACAGTACTGAACACAGGATTCAGCTCTTTAGCCATTTGACACACAACCTGTCCAAATCTGAAGCCTGATGCACATTATGCTGCAATCTGTTAGCATGTATCATGATCTATGATATATGAGTATTTGATTCATCACAGCTTGATCAAAAACCTTAAAACTGTTTATGGAAATGGAATCACTGACTGCAAGGAAATGTAAATAATGCTTCACGCTTAAAACTGGCTGTAAATGAAGGTTTTATTTATGTAATTTGTAAACTAGACATTGCTACTTTTGCTCATTTTCCTGTATTTTCAGTTTCAATGCTGTTTGTTAAATGTTGTGTTTGAGGTTGTCAATATCCATTTAAACATCTGATGGAATTGTGTAAAATATCTATAGCTCATGTAAATAACTAAAAAAGCCATGCTCTTACACTTGAATACTTTGCTTTTCCATCCATTTTGAAGGACTTATCTTTGGAAAATAAGCTTCAGTGTTGTCATGATGTAAGAAATGTACATTGTCTTCTCTGCTTTGTTCATTTAAACATAAAATATATCAAATTCATCCTTGTGGTGTTTCATTTCAAATGAACAACTTAATTCTGTGAAAAAGGTTCAAGATAAGCAGAATCAGCTGTATCATGTTGCTATCAAACCAGCTCCTGTAAATTCCTCTTCACGCAGTCTTTCTTTTCCATACTGGCTTTAGCATATCTTTGAGATTCAACCTCTGACCTTTATATGACATTTTAAAGGAGAAAAAACCCCACAGGGAGTGTTAGTGAATCCCCACCGACATGCTGACTGCACACACTGGCGCTAAAAATCACATACAGACAAATAAAACACAGACAAAACACAAGATAGCAAGGAAGAAACAACTAGGACATAAGCTGCCCAAAACCCTGCAGAGGATGAGCAGATACAGACAATGGTTGGGTCCAATAGAGAGGAGGAACAGTATGTGTTTTTACAAATAAAAAAAAAGCTATTATTTTGAAAAACACTTAAGTTAGGTTTGCAGAACTAAAGCCTTACAAAAATTATGAATTCACTATAAGGCCTCAGTGGAGAACCACAGACTTACTGTAACACCACACACACATATTACAGTTTTATCATGGCTTTGCCAAAAGGGTTCAATTTAATCTGTGTTATTTGGCATTAAATGATTGTTGGCGATTGCATTCATAAATCATAACAGATGTGGCTATGCCCGCAGGCTCCGTTTGCTCTCATTCATGGATAAACGATAAGAAACCAGCGCAGGGTGTGGATTGTAATATTGTAATTTGTAACGGGTAATGTGTGGAATTAGGCCATATACTATCAAAATTTCTGTTTTCCTAACATTATTATTATCATAATTATTATTTTACCTTATCCAGAATCGACAAACCAGTGTCCATCCGGATTTATAATTTGAGAGTTTAATCTTATTTTAAGGTGACAAAACACTGGATACCAAGAAAGTCCTGGATAATCATGATATTTATAGTGAAAAAAAAAAAACCCAAATGCGCAGTGGTGCAACAAAAAAAAGGAGCTGTGGGAAACAAGTAACTAAGAAGTAACGAGTAGCCTAATAAATACTTTGGAGTAACGAGCCCCGACACTGAAAGGAGAGAGGAGGGACTCGTGCGCACTCGCCGCCCCGCTGTTTCCTCCACCGGAGGCGGGCAATTAGAGCCGCCGGTCTCCAAGAAATAGATCCGCAATTGGTGGGCAGATGAATTAGTTGGCATTGACTGTCTGTATGGAGGGTGAGTTCTGCACGCAGGGGACCAAGTGTTGGGGATGTATGGAGTCACGACGCACTACGCAACGCAGTTCGTCATGACTTGAAGAGAATCACGACGGGATTTCTGTAGTGACGTGAAATTTAGGCTAGATGCAATTAGACATGGCTTCTGTGCTGCATATGTACCAGCAGCTGTGGCATATAGCCGCTTACTGAAAGCACTTTTCCCACCATTTTTTCTTTATTTTTCTTTGCACATTTCCATCCAAAGCAAGACTGCACCTGAACTTCCTCTCGCACTACATTTCCCCAGTGAAGTAAGAAGCGTCGCTCTGTGTGTGTGTCTGTGTGTGTGTGTGTGTGTGTGGAAGCGCTGACAGAGTGCGCCGGTGAAGTCAGTGAAGTGTTTGCGGATTTCTGTGGGAAGACGCTGCTTTTTCGTGCACCTGTGGACGCCTGCAGAGAGAGAGAGCGCGCCGTGGACGCCTTTGGTGTGCTTCTCCCACAAACCTTTTGATTTCTTTAGGGGGCTTTTTCTGCAGCATAACGCGTCCGTCGGATGCACGGCTGGATTTTGAGCAGTCGGAGAGCTCTGGTCAGCTTCAGCACCACATCAGCTTTGAACAGCTCCGGGTCGTCGCGTGTGGATGGGCTCTGTCGGTCTCCGTGTCTCCTGCAGCTCCTAACTACCGGCAACAATGGCAGCACACGGTTTCTGGTCTCTTGGCGGAGATAATGCGGGGGCCAGTACCGGGAGTCAGAGCCCCAGTACGCGTGAGTGGCTTTTTGTCTTCAAAAAAACACCTCTGATGGACGGGGCGCAGCACTAATTCCAGTGCATTGTCTCAAAGCCAGTGCGCTGCAGTTGGCGTTACAGCCGCCGAGTGCACACCAAACAGGCCTGCTGTATTTATATTCGACACATCTGCCTTTTACACCTTGTCTTTTTTTTCTTGTTTCACCCCGCAGGGTGCAGGAATTTGGTCTAAAGGCTTGTTTTGCTACAACTTGCATGGCGCTCCTTGTGTTTCGGCTGCTATCGTAAAGTTGGACTCTGAACCTGAAGCCTGTTCATCCCTCATTTGATTTATCCCTTCTCTCTTCCAGCCAGGGCTTGGTGCCAAGCGGCGGCCCAGAAATTCTCCGGAGGAATTGGATCGAAATTATGTGGTATGTTGGTTCACAGCGGAGGGAGAATGTGTGTGTGTGTG